TAGTAAATATGTATTGTGTTTGCAGGAATTGTGGCATAAACTTCCATCGGGTTACGATCCATGTACGGAAGGTTATACAAAAAAATTCTTCAACAGAGACGACGTTCAAAAGGCTCTTCATGCTAACGTTACAGCACTATCGTATCCTTATACTCCCTGCAGGTATTTCTATTCCTCAAACATAAATTTTAGTTCGAAAATTATGTTCGTATTAGTTGACATACTCATTGCTATATCAAACGATACTCATATCAATCAAGAAGGTATAAGTTTGATACTCGTAAACACCCGATGGGTATTGATTTTAAGAGTTGGACTAGGTGTTAGCATTAAATATTGTGGGGTGGGGGAAGAAAGTGAAAGTGTGTGTGCAATGAATAAGTGCATGTGTTGAGTGATTGAACTGGAGCTTTCCCTTCTGTGTTCTTCTGCCATTGCCATTAAAATCATCCTAACCAATGAATCCATCTCTCCTAATAAGTAGCTCGTTTACTTGATACTTGTTTATGTCGTTTGAATCACGATCATGTATGTAAGTATACATGTTCGAAACCTAAAACCCAAAACTCGAAACGGTATGAGTATGAATGTTGGTTCGTTTTTGTGCACAGTGGTGTGATTAAGCAATGGACGGATTCAACTGACTCGGTGTTGCCTATCATTCACAAGCTCCTCAATGTTGGCTTGCGTATTTGGGTTTACAGGTAATTAATTCTCAATCCCTTTTACATGATCGTGACACGTTGCATCATAAGATTGGACCATGTAGCTGAAAGCTACCACCCAAGTGCATTTGGGTCGAGGATTCTAATTGAATGCTCGACCAACCAGTCGAGGATTTTTGTTGCTTATGTTAGTTTCTAACCGTTTTAAGGAAGAATGAAGTGTTTAAATCTGAAGGTATTTTGAACGAGCTCTACGTATTTTTGTAGCGGAGACACGGATGGACGGGTTCCAATAACGTCGACGAGGTACAGCATAAACAAGTTAGGGTTGGAAATAGAAGAAGAGTGGAGGGCATGGTACCATAAGCATCAAGTGGCTGGTTGGGTTGAGACCTACAAGGGAGGGCTCACCTTGGCTAGCGTGAGAGGGGCAGGCCATCAAGTCCCTGTTTTTGCTCCTCAACAATCCCTCTCCCTTTTCTCTCATTTCCTTTCTACCAACACTTTGCCCACCACTCGCTCGTAAATTGTCGGGTGGTGAGTCTGTTCCATAACTATTTTATTTTCAAGTAAGACAATGGTTACCTAAATTTTAAAATTGTGAGACTAGCAGCGATACGTAACGAGCCAAAGCGGACAATATCTACTAGCAGTGAGTTTGAGCTATTGCAAATGATATTATAGCCACCAGATGCTGGCTCTCAAGTGGGTGAATTGTGAGATCCCACGTCAGTTGGAGAAGGGAACGAAGCATTTCTTATAAGAGTGTGGAATCCTCTCCCCAACAGACATGTCTTAAGATCGTGAAGCTGACGATGATACCTAACGGGTCAAAGTGGATAATATCTACTAGTTATGGACTTACGTTATTACATACTTATTATAATGATATTTTTGAAATAAATTACGGATAGTTTTTATCCAAAATAACCCGAAAAAAAATTGAAGGAAATTATTGAATTTTTTTAAAAGGAAAAATAGTAAGAATCACTTTTGAACTTCAGAAGGGCATTATAGTAATTTCAGAATTTGATTAAACTCCCCTTTTTAACTTATAAAATAATTGTAATTAAGGGTTTAATTATAAAGTTTCATAAAAATAATCGCTTTTGACCATTTTTTATTTTAAAAAAGAATAATTCATGTGATGAAAAGAGAAAATTTTAAAAAAGTTGAAGAATTAAAATCAAAATTAAACAAAAAAGAATGATTAAATTGAAAAAGCTTTTCCAATGAATTCAAAAAGTTAAAAACATTGGCAACCAAAATGTTCTTGTTTTCAATAATATAATTCTCCACTTTTCCCTCTCCACATTCATTCTCCTTTTTCTCTCTCTACAATTCCAAACAGAGAGACCAGAATTATTGCCGTTCGTCGCCGATGCCTCGTTCAGCGAATTTGTTGCCGTTGTTTTTCGCTTTACTGTTCTTAACGGCGGTGGTTTTCTCGTCGGAGATCGGCGGAGAGGAATTGGACGACGGAGATTCACGGCGACGAGAGGCCGACGAAGTCATCGACTTGCCGGACCAGCCCCCGGTGGAGTTCCGGCATTACGCCGGCTATATTAAACTCCGGCCGAGCGAAGAGAAGGCTCTGTTTTACTGGTTCTTTGAAGCTCAAAACGACGTCGCTCTTAAGCCCCTTGTTCTCTGGCTCAATGGAGGTTCTTATTTAGTTTTAATTTTGTTAGTTTTTTTTTTTTTAATTTAATATTCATTTTTAAAAAAATAATTAATGTTTTATCTACTAGGACCGGGTTGCTCCTCCATAGCTTATGGAGCTGCTCAAGAACTCGGCCCCTTCCTTGTTCAGAGCAATGGGAAGCTAAAACTCAACCCGTTCTCTTGGAATAAAGGTAAAATTATTTTGTTTCAATTTAAATTAGTAATTTCCATTATTGATCATGCAAAATTTAGATTATTTATTTATTTATTTATTTGGGAATAGCTGCAAATATGTTATTTTTGGAGGCACCGGTGGGAGTGGGATTCTCTTATACCAATAAATCATCAGATTTGTATAAGCTCGGTGATAAAGTCACAGCCGAAGATTCTTATACCTTTCTTATTGGCTGGTTTAAAAGGTTCTCGAGCTTCAAACTCCATGATTTCTATATAGCTGGAGAGAGCTACGCTGGTATTTTTCTTTTCAGATTTTCTGTCTCTATAGTCTGAATTCGATTCTCGAGCATTTGATTTCAAATTCTCGAAGAATTTAAATTTATGTAATATAAAATTTATTATTTGACATATTTATTGTTGGAAGGACATTATGCTCCCCAACTTGCTGCGCTGATTCATGAGAGAAACAAAAATTCTAGCAAAGACTTGATTATCAACCTCAAGGGCATAATGGTAACTTCATATGACTGATATTAGGAATTAATAAAATATGACTGTTATTTTATTTTATTTTATTTTATTTAGATTGGAAATGCAGCCATTAACGATGAAACAGACACAATGGGAATGGTGGAATATGCATGGAGTCATGCCATAATATCAGATCAGCTCCATGCCAACATCTTCAAAGAATGCAATTTCTCGGTCGATATTGAAAACCTAACACTTTCTTGCCTCAATCACTACCGAGACTTTCTTGTTTCATATTCCAAAATTGATATCTATAATATTTATGCTCCTACCTGCCTCTCCTCTTCTTTGGACTCGGTGTTTCGACTCGTCAGTGCTGCTCCTCGAACCTTCTCAAAATTGGTAAGATTTCATATCCCTCGAAAAACCTTTCAAACCTGTTTTCTTTAGTTCAATAACTACAAGTCTGAAAAGGGTTGAATTATCGACCCTGGGAATGGTAATTAATGTTTTATTTGATGAGCTATATGCTCGGTTTGATGCTTACATTTGGTTTTGAATTAGAAGTTATGGAGTAAGATACCAAGAGGGTACGATCCATGTACAGCAAATTATGCAGAAAAGTATTTCAATAGAGCGGATGTTCAAAGAGCTCTCCATGCTAATGTTACCAAGCTTTCTTATCGTTATACCCCATGCAGGTATGGTTTAGAATGAGGTCGAAATTAAAACATTAGAGACGTGATCGATAAGTGTTATACTTAATTTTGTCGCTAAACTTTGGCGGCAGCAATGTGATCGAAGATTGGATTGATTCTCCTAATTCTGTCTTGCCCATCATTCACAAGTTACTCCAAGCACGATATCGCATTTGGATTTACAGGTAATCTTTCCTCTATCACTTTTTTGGTCAATGATACATATGTTTTAACTATTTAGCTACTCGTTGAATTGCATGCAGCGGTGACACGGATGGAAGGATACCGGTAACGTCAACAAGATATAGTATAAAGAGAATGAATTTGAAGGTCGACGAAGAATGGAGGGCATGGTTTGAAAGGCGTCAAGTGGCTGGTTGGGTTGAAACCTACCAAGAAGGCCTCACCTTGGCTACAATTAGAGGGGCAGGCCACCAAACCCCCGTCTTTGCTCCTCGACAGTCGCTCGCTCTATTCATTTACTTTATCTCGGGTAACCGTTTGCCCGTAGCTTCCAAAATTATTTAAACTTTCTACTTTAAGAGAGGTAATGCATGTCAATCATTTGTACGATACCTATCTTTAACCCACGCTTTTCCATTTACGTAGAATATTTTTGGACTAAATATATTTTCAGTCCCTATCCCAGTCTCCCACCTCCTAATCTCAGCAAAAAAAAAAAAAAAATTATTTATTTTCGTGGATATCAAATTCTCTTGCAGCTAGACTACTACAGATGTGATAGCTCGTGACAAATTATGATTTTCTTACGAGAATCTGATTTAAGAATTTTAGAATACTTGTAGCGTTATATCGTGCACTCATTTTTGTTCGAGCTTTCGCCAGGGATCTTTTTGTAGAAACATTCACGAACAATCGTCGTTCTTTTAAAAAAATTCACTTTTTAGATACGCTCTTTCAACTTAAAATTGATAAAATACAAAATAACATTCGAGGGCGGATAAACTTTTCTTTCATGTCCCTAGAGTTTATCGTCGAACATATAGAATGCTTCTTGAACGGTACCTAAGCAAAAATATAATATAATGTTCGGTTATAATAAGAATTTATTTTTTCTAGATTAACAATAAATTTTAGAAAAATTAATCAACAATTTAATTCATAAAAAAAATTATTTATTTAAATACTTATAAAATTTTATTGGGCCGTGGACGTCTTTGGTTGGGCCCAAATCCACAAACGCAAACGGGACCCCCTGGCTCGCTTCTCCAGTTCAACATATATATGGCTCTCGTTTCGCCTTCGGTTCCTATTTGCCATTAATTAGGGTTTTCGAGCAGGCCTCGTCGACGTCCAGCCGTCATGGTACTCTTCTTCACCTTTGTTTTTCAGTACAATTTTTTTAGCTACTCGTGTATTATCTTGAATTTCTCTGGTTGGTTCTGTACTTCTATTGATTTCCTCTGTGTTCTACATCTCTGATGCCTTGTTCGATTCTGTTTTATTTGGCCGTCAAAGAACTCTGTGATTGAAAAAAAATAATAAGTTGTAGCGATTGGTTGCTTTTTGAAAGTTTAGCTTTGAATGGAGGGGGTGTCACTTAACTTTTGAGGGCGTTGGTATTGAGTGAGATTGGAATGTTTCTTCCTAAATTGCTTAAACGAAGGGATTTTTCAGAAAGGTGAACATTGCACTTGGAGTGAATTATCGATTCTGGATCTTTCATTATAAGATGATCATTGATAATCCCTTCCAAATGAATTTTAAATCACGGAATTGAAATGCAGTGGTGGGTTTGCAGTATTTGTTTCTTTTTTTAACTTTTCAGCTTGTAGCGTCGTAAGTTAAGATTCGATTATGGATATTGTAATGGGAAACAGGTGAACGTTCCCAAGACAAAGAAGACTTATTGCAAGAGCAAGGAGTGCAAGAAGCACACCTTGCACAAGGTCACACAATATAAGAAGGGGAAGGATAGTCTTGCTGCACAGGGAAAGCGTCGATACGATCGCAAACAATCAGGATATGGAGGTCAGACCAAGCCTGTGTTTCACAAGAAGGTTGGTTAATTTTCTCACGTCTAGTTAAATTCTTACTTTCTCTTTTTCCGCAATGCCATTGAGATTAGAACTGAAGTGAAATTTATGAATATAAAAGGCAAAAACTACCAAGAAGATTGTGTTGAGGCTGCAATGCCAAGGTTGCAAACACGTATCCCAGCACGCTATCAAGGTTAGAATGCGAAGTATTTCATCATTTTTTGTTTATGGCCTCTCTCTATTGAGTATCTTATTAATCTAATGCATTTTCTAAAAAAAAAAACATTCAAGCATATAGTGGTTAGCATCATAAGAGGGGGGATACATGGTTTTTGTTTGCCTCTGTCCTCTCTTTATTAAGTAGTTGTAGGATGTCTTCTAGGAGATTTCACATCGGTTGGAGTGGAGAACGAAGCATCTTTATAAGGGGGTGGAAACCTCTCTCTAGTAGATGCGTTTAAAACCTTGAGGGGAAGCTGGGTAAAATCCAAAGAGAACAATATTTGCTAGTGGTGGGGCTTAGACGGTTACATCTTCTCTTGGTCCCAAATAGCCCATTCATTCCCATTAAGTAAATATGCTTATGAGGCCGTTGATTCTAGGCTTCTGAATATCCCTTTACCCTGGTGGTTGATTTGTTTTCTCCATTCCCGTACTCATCATTCCCTCAAAATTAATTGGGTACTGGGTGCTTCAATTTTTATATGATCGTCAAGAACTATGTTTGAAGTAATTGTTTGCTATTTTAGAAAATATGTAACCCCAAGTAAGGAAACCCTAATTGTTAGTTGTTATCAGAATTTTGTGCCTTTCCCTCATCACAGTTCTAAATTGTCAAATGCAGAGATGCAAGCACTTCGAAATCGGTGGAGACAAGAAGGGGAAGGGAACTTCTCTTTTCTAGACCCTTTATCAGATTTTATCTTTTGTCATTTCTTTTTCGTAAGATCAGTTATGGAGATTTTGCAGCATTACTCTGTTTTGTTAATGAATTAGCTCTACATGTCCTAACGATACTATTTAGCTGAAACTTTCTCATATTTATTGTTGAATTTTCAAAGTTCTGATGCTCTTCGTATGATGTGTTCAGAGTCGTTTCTCATAGAAACTTGGTTTGCATATTCACATGATGAATCGGTCCTTTCCAAATTATTTTTTTTCAGTACAACAAAGTTGGGGTGTATTCTTTTTAATGTATAGTTGTCAGATATGCTTTTGTTTTTTAAATTTATGCGTTTTTTCACTTCATTTTCATATCATAGTTACCATCTGGGATTGAATGCTCTAAGAATTACTTCAACAATCAAATGTATTTGTCTTTTGAGTATAATAAAAATGTTCCCAAATTGGTTTGAATGCGCACGAAAAAGTTCCCAAATTGGTTTAAATTTATGCGTTTTGCGCATGAATTTGTGTATTGAGTGCATAAGTTGTTTAGTTTATACGGTTGCTATTTTGTTGCTATATTTTCTTCGTTGTACTGTACAAATCTATATTCCAATCAAAATTTTAACCTAGAGCCCTGCTTCCTATATATATATATATATATTTTTTTTTTTTGTCTTTGATTTTTAAATTCACACAAGCTTCAATCCTGAATGTACCAAATTTTATTGATTTGAGATTAACTCTAGATGCCATAACTTGATTTGAGATCAAGTTTTCTTAAGATGATGGTAGAATTTTATTTTTGCTTACAATTAGTCAAGCCAAGTCGATAAAGGATTGAGGCCCCATAATAAAACTACCAACAGCTGATAAAGGATTGAGAATGAAACCAAATGTTCTAAATGGTGGTTAAGCTAGTAACTAAGAAGGGCTTTATATATATACATATATATATATATCAAAGGCTAAATCACAAAAATAAATAAATATATTACCTACAAAGTTTGCCCCCTTTGAAAAAAAAAAAACAAATTATTCCTATAAATTGCAATATCACATTTTACCTTTTCATAAACATTTCAAAATTAATTTTTAAAAAGAATTTTTATAAAACTTGGATCTGAAATGACGATGACTTATAATAAAAATTGATCGCTTGTTTCATTTCATAATATTTGTCCAAGATTTTAAAGGATCCAAAAGTAGTGTTAGAACAAAAGATCTTTTCAAACTTTTGAAATAATAAAGAATTTTTATAACAAAGAGCAAAGTTTCAAAGTTTGATTGCAAGACTATATATCTAACTTATGCACGTTTGGACTAATCATATAACCGAATACCGACTAAAACACATAAGAAATAAGTACTCTAGGTAGAGTGGTCGCCATGAATTTAGGAGACCCTTTACCTTGTTAATTGGTCCCTTGCCTCTTAAACCCATACAACACTCCCTGATACACCATCAATTTACCAAAACCGCTAAAAAGTGAAGCTAAATGCAAGAAATACCTTCAGATCAAGTACATATGTATACACTATAATAGAATGTTCACAGCTTAACAACTATCCATAAAGGCACTACAAGTCTCTTTAATCAACAAGTACTACGAAAAACTTTGAGGGAAAGGAAAGGAAAGTCCTCCATCTCTAACAAATGTGGGTTCACTAAGAACCAAACCATGTGTATGAAGCAAACACTAATTCACTCCATAATCAAAAACGTAATACAAAACTAAAGCTTGAAATGAACGTTAAAACATAGGACGACTGCATTAAATAATGAAACAAGCAGCAAAGGATTAACACCATGCTGAAGAAACATACAGATACTCCATATGTGATAAAATCATAAAACATTGGTATGGAAGAATCCATACAAATGAGCATATCATAGCACAAAGAAATCTTAATCAAAGTCGGCGAGTTCTAATCGCATTGCAAAGAAGTATGTGTACCTGGACTGTAAGTACAAATTCTCCAAAGCCTGATACGTTCGATAAAATTGTGCCACACAGTCGTAAGCATCTTCTAAGAACCCTCAAGTGCTCTTGGATGAATTATGCAGCACATGACATGATGAAAAGTTTACATAGTTCCATTTCCCATGTCATATAGTGGACCCTATCCCTATAACTTCTCAAAAGTGCAGATCGTGATCCACTTGCCTCATGATACTCTATATCAGTGATCTAGAAGAATGAGATATAAAATGGATAGAGTAAAAATATCTAATATACGAGCAAATTCTGAAATTTTATTAAATTTCAAGCTTTTCTCTATGAAGTGTTAATAAAAGCTGTCAATACACATATCAATGCTGGATACACAAAATAACAATACAGGTCCAAACAGCCAAAGGGACATTTAGCTAGGAAAAAATAATTATTCCCATCAGATCCAGCAAGATAAAATTAACTTTCGGATAAATCTATCAAAAGTCAGTAAGGAACTTGAAAGTGCCATGCTTTAACGTCAAGATCCTACCTCAAATTCTTAACTCGAACCTTTATCTTTGCCTTCATTACCAACTGCGTCGGTCACCAGGGCTATTGGCCTTTGATCAATCACCTCATCGATTATGCCAAACTCCTTGGCCTCTTCTGGGGTCATAAAATAATCCCTGTCCATATACTTTTGAATAATCTCTACTGACTGTGACGTATGCTTGGAGTACAGCTCATTTAGTGCATCCCAAACCCGAACAATCTGTTTCGTGTGAATTGACATATCCTTCGCTTGCCCACTATATCCACCAGAAGGCTGGTGAACCATGATAGTTGCATTAGGAAGCGATCGTCTCTCGCCCTTGGCACCAGCAGCTAGAAGAAGAGAAGCCATCGAGGCAGCCTGACCCAAACAGATGGTGTTGATGGGCGACCTTATATACTGCATAGTATCATATATAGCAAGCCCTGTAAATACATGACAAATATTGGTGATGCTATCAAAGGTGAAAGCCTCGAATCTTCTTAGCAATTGCAACGAAGTTTATGACTATTAAGTTCGGAACATAAAATCAATTTGAAGCCTACTGGAGTAACAAACATTGGAAATTAACATCATTGGGGGGAAGTAGAGTTCCAGCGTGAGATCAGCAAAATTTCATAATTAGTGAACTGTAATAATTTGAAAACCTATGGTTTTCTTGTCAACAAACATCAAATTGGGAAGCATATAATTCGGATCAGTAAAACTATAAATTGAGCACCACTAAACCCAAAACCCAAAAGATTAAACCTATAGACTATTTAGTGATAATCTCCCACTTCAATATCACGATAAATCAACCTTAACCCACTCTAATCATTTGTTCATGGTCTTAACAACATTCTCAAAGTCAGAAACGACAAGTCCAGAAACTGGTAGAAGTTACGACAATGAACAAAACAATAAAGTGGTTGAATTAGTAACATAAATCTTTGTATTATACCAGCAGTGACGGCGCCGCCGGGGGAGTTGAGATACATATTGATGGGCTTCGAGGGGTTCTCAGACTCAAGAAAGAGAAGCTGAGCAACGACAA